CAATTTAGCGGTTCAAACCGGTTCGAACCGGTTCGAACCGGTTTGAACCGTTATTTTTGGCTCCCCGGAACTGAACCGGAACCGAACCGAAAGCCGTGAACCCGAACCGGAACCGAACCGATAAAAATTTCGGTTCGACACCCTGGCGGTGAGGTCTGCCAGGTTGGGGATGAATCCTCCCGAATAGGTGATCATCCCCAGAAGACTCCTCACTTCTGCTGGACTGTTTGGTGGGGCCATGTCAAGAAACGCTTGGACTTTTGCCGGGTCAGGTTGCATTCTTTTCGCTGAGAAGATGTCCCCAAAGAATGTCGATTCTTGTTGGGAAAAAGAGCACTTCTTCGGGTTGAGTGTGAGTCTACAATCCCTGAGGCGTCGTAGCACAGCTTCCAGCAAGTCATTATGTTGTTGGTCTGTTTTTCCATACACTAAGATGTCGTCGCTGATGTTAATGACTCCTGGGATGCCAGCGAGCACTTGTCGGATTGTGTTCTGGAACAGCTCCGCAGCAGCATTAATTCCAAAGTTCAAACGCTTGTATCGGTAGAGTCCGATATGGGTTGCAAACGTTGTGATGTGTCTCGAGTCCTCGTGCAATACTAGCTGGTGGTATCCGTCGTTGAGATCTAGTTTCGAGAATACAGACGCACCATTGAGGCTTGTGACGAGATCATCCAGCATTGGAGAGGTATGTCGCTCTCTGTTGATGGCTTGGTTTGCTCGGCGCATGTCTACACACATCCGAACAGTGTCCGGTGCATGTGACTTTGGCACGACGACGATGAGAGAGACCCATGTAGTGGGATGCGAGGCTTTCTCGATCACATCGAGCTCCTCCAGTCGCCGTATCTCTTCTGTGACCAGCTCACATATGTTGAACAGGATGGGCCGTAGCTTTTGTGCCACTGGTGGAATTGATTGATCAATGTGCATTTTCACTTCAATTTCTTTGAGCTTTCCTAGTCCTCCGAATAGCTCGGGGTACGTCTCTTGGATGCACTGCGAGGGGGAAACCTTGTACACGATTGAGACAAGTCCCAGAGCTTGGGCTGACTTGAAGCACTACAGTGACTCACTTGGCGTTGTTAAGAATGGAACCTTCGGCGACCTTCTTCCGAGTTTCAACGCTGCGGAAACGAGTCAAGACGAGTCCGGGACCGTCGCCCGCTTGTCGGGGCCTGCGCGAAACGAGTCCCGACGAGTCCGGGACCGTCGCCTGCGTGACGGGGCCTGCGGCAACAAGTCTCAACGCGCCCGTGACGTTAGCGGGACGTGTGTGTGTGCGTGGTGGTTGGTGCGCTCGGGAAAGGGAGAGAGGCATGGCCTAACTGCGGAGAACTTTGGCTACGTCACACTGGACGACGGGTTGCTGCATCGCACTGGCTGCCCTGGCGGGAAGTGAGGGAGAAACGGACCCTATATAAGGAGGAGCGCGAGGCTGCTCCGTTGTTCTCTCGGATTTGACGACTGTATCGCTACCATGTAATTAAACCGTTCGTTACGTTACCAAGTCTCCCACCTCCACTGAACCGCTGGGTTCTTCACTTCGGGGATTGGACGTCGTCTCGAGCCAGGAAGCTTCCGGACGTGCGGCTCAAACCCCGCCTCGAACAGCGTCCTTGTGTCACCAATATGGTATCTTGCAACTTGGTGTCCTTGTAACAGAGTTCAGCAGAAAACTTGCCCATTAAAGGAAGTTCTGTTCTTGATCCGTATGCAAACACTTTTGGTACTGGGCCACTCAGGTTTGGTTTGCCTGGGTCTTGCTGTATGTGTCATGGCTGATGACGTTGAACGAAGCTCCTGTGTCCACGATAATGTCAGTGTCACGGTCACCGATGGTCAACATACCTGTTGGAGCCTGAGTTGTTGCACTGTAGCGTGAAAGCTTGGTCGTTCGAATCAGAGTCCGAACTGTGCTCAACCAGCCTGTGAGCCGTGTTGGGTCCACCTTGTTGGCTCTTTCCTCTAGATATGTCTGCAAAGTGCCCCCGCTTTTTGCATGCTTTACATGTTTTGTTCGTTGTTGAACAGAACTTTCCTTGCTCGCGGGGCCGCAGTCCGCCACAGTTGAAACACTTTCTTTCAGTTGTAGTTTGTTGCTGCTTTGAGGTGTGGGCGAATCTCTGCTTCCAAGACTTCTTTTTGCACGTCAAGTGATTCACCTGGTCTGTTGCGGATGTCTCCATTTCTCTCAGGTTTCGCGAGGTGACTTCATACGTACGTCCTTGTGTTAGAACCTTCTCAAGCGTCTCGTCGGTCTGGAGCGCGAAACATAGTTTCGTGGATGACGTACCGAGCACGATTTGCGATTTTATCTCTGCTTTCAGTGTCCGCGAAAAAACAGTGCCTTGCCATCGCACGGAGGCACGTGTAGAATGCATCGATGGTCTCACCTTCTTGTTGGGTTGTTTTTCGGAAATTGAAGATTTCAAAGTCTCCGTTAACCCTGGCCGTGAAGTGGTTGCGGAGCAGCTGTTTTTCTTTTTCATAGTCATCTGGTGATCCAGAAGTGCTTCCCACTTCGCTTTGACCGGTCTGTCCCGTAACGGTAATTGCCGTGGTTATGCTGGGTGGGGTTGCTGTCAACAGTGCGAGTGATGCGTACATGTCGTAGCCTTTCTCGCCAATGTAGTGGAGCAGCAGAGCCTTCTTTTGCTTTGCATCTTCGACCTTGAGCGCCGTGAACAGATTCTCGAATCTGTCGATCCAACGCCGCTACCGATCTCCGAGCGTTGCTGGAGGTGGACTGACATCGAAGGGCGGGAAAGCCGGCAAAAACGGAGCAAACGCCATCATGCTTTTGAACCCACACTGCTTAAAATTTTCAGAGCATCGGGAGTAGTGTGCAAAACTATTGATAAATTGACTATCGATAGTTTTTCCAAAACTATCGATAGTGTCGCAGAACTATCGATATTACTATCGATAGTTTTTCTATAGTTTTCTGATAGTCGACTATCGATAGTTTTTCGATAGTTGACTAGTTTTTCAATAGTCGACTATAGATAGCACTATCAATAGTTTTTCGATAGTCGACTATCAGTAGTTTTTTTTATTATAGATAGTTTTGCACCACTAGATCGAACACAGTCGCCACACCGCCGCGCTTGCCTCCCTTCCTCCTCTCTTTGCCCAAACTCCCGTCTTTGTCATCACTGAAAGCTGAACCAATGTTGAGGTGGCAAGTGCTTGAGCTAGTTGGTGTCCCATTTGAAAAAATAAAGCGAGAAAAAGAAGAGGGAGTGACGCAAACTACTAGTGTCGCAAAACTGTCGATAGTAAACCGTTGACAGTACTATCGATAGGGTTTACGATAGTCGACCATTCATAGTTTTTTTATAGTCAATTAACAATTTTCCGATAGTCGACTATCGATAGTACTATCCATAGATTTTTGATAGTCGACTATCAATAGTGCTATCGATAGTTGAATATCGATATTACTATCTATAGTTTTTTTTACTATCAATAGTGAGATTTCTGGCGATTATCGATGTACTATCGATTGTATTCTCGATAGTTCTGCACCACTAGAGCGAACACAGTTGCCGCACCGCCGCTCGCCTCCCTTCCTCCTTTCTTCACATAAACCCCCGTCTTCGTCCTCACTGAAAGCTGAACCAAAGTTGGGATATGGTTAAGTGCTTGGGCTAGTTGGTGTCCCGTTCCAACTAGCCCAAACACAACAGCCATGTCACTGAACATCAAGTTGGGAGACCTATGCAAAGAACTAAGGGCCATGGGCATACCAATCGGGGGGCGCTTGCCTCGCCCCCCCCCCCCCCCTCCAGTTCTCAGAGTGGGGGGGCAAGGCATGTGTTTTGCCCCCCCCCCCCCCCCCCCCCCCCCCTTGAAACAGCCGCAGGGCAGGGCAAACACTGGCCGGCGGCGCCCAAGGGATAGCAAGGGCACTGCTCCGGCCCTGGGGGGAGGCGAGGGTTCTAGTCGGCCCCCCACTCAAGAACAAGTTGGTACGCCACTGAAGGGCAACATACAACAACCTCAGCAGGGATCTGCACGACGAGGACATGGTCGCGCATGGTCTAGACTAGGCAAAGAGAGAGGAAGGAAAGAAGCAGACCGCCTGGACCCAGGTGATATAAGTCGTCTTTTTAGGTATGCGGAGACAGGGCAGAGTAGTAAAGCAACTAGAGTGGAGCAACCAACAGTATCAAGGGAACAAGCTTCATGCAACAGTGCAAGGTCAGGAGATGCAGAGCCAGATCTTGCAATCCAATCCACAGCACGTGGTTGATTACCGAGGCTGGAGCGCCACGTCCTCGAGGCCAAAACTGCCCGTCCTTTGGTGCGTCAGCTTTGCGGCACTCGGCGCGGCTTTTGCAACAGCAGCTTGAACCTCGATCTGCATCCTCAGCACACGGAGGGCAGAGTTGGAAAGAATACAGGAGGAATTGCCTATTAAAACCGACGTCCATGGGTATCGGACCGGATTTTCAAAGTAAACACCCCTCGCTTTGCTGCAGATTGAATAAAATTATGTCTATATTAATTTGACTCCCTGCAAATGAAAAACTAATGCGTTAGGAGAAAGGGGCGGTATTTTCACAGAAGCTCACGCCGGCAATAATAAGCTTGTCGCGCAAAACGAAGCATATTGAAAGGCAGTTGTAGATAATCGCGGCAGGTTCGACTTACTGCCACTATTGAAACTAATATCAAATGAATGAACGTCATCTTCTGAGTCACAGTTGTGCTACCACTTTCATCGCAAGAAATTTCTACGTCGGCGCGAAACCGAAACCAAAACTAGAAATTGAGTTCCTCTGTAGCTTCCTAGACGGCGTCACTATCATCATCGGCGTTAAAGGGGTTTGAAATTCACCGATTAAATTGATCTACGGTAAGCAAAATATTAGTAGAGGATTTAGACTATACTACTACAGTACTGCAGCTCTGTAGTACTGTAATAACTCTATGTTTAATACTACATATAACTGTCCTTGCGTTTTGAAAACAAACTTTGATTTAATCCAGTATCCAATCCAATTTTTGATTGTGACGGGTTGCGCTGTTTCGTTTCCGTAGGTCTTTTTACGCAGAACTTATTTCCATCCTATATATCTCGTCCGTGAAATGGAATTAGCGACTGTAATGTGCATGGTAATATGTGACGAGGCACCACGCGAGCAGGACTGAACGGACTGCCCCTAGGTAAGCCTTTTTGTCTTCGTGATTGGGTAGTTTCCTTGCCCCGCATTCTCCCAGTCGCCTTCGAGAGATGTCTTGTGAAGGCTTTTCTCGTTGCAGGGCTCGTCACCACGCGCTTTTCGTTCGCCTAGACACACACTCGTCAAAACATCCCACGGGTCGCTTGCAACGCGTTGTTTGCGTCACGTAGACACACAGCACTTAGCATCGCCTCAAGGCGCTCGCGTCACTTTCCGAAGCAGAGGTGCTATGTTGCGCTTTTTGGACTCCCAGGAGACTAGGAAGAGGGAAGTGACGTCAACGACACAGCAAACGCAGATTGGATGTTGACAGAAAAAAACGAAATCAACACCCAATCTGCGTTTGCTGTGTCGTTGACGTCACTTCCCTCTCCCTAGTCTCCTGGGGGGCTATGTTGCGCTTTTTGCACTCCCAGGAGACCAGGGAGAGGGAAGTGACGTCAACGACACAGCAAACGCAGATTGGGTGTTGATTTCGTTTTCTTCTGTCAACATCCAATCTGCATTTGCCTTGTCGTTGACGTCACTTCCCTCTCCCTAGTCTCCTGGGAGTGCAAAAAGCGCAACATAGCCCTCCTGGGAGTCCAAAAAGCGCAACATAGCACCCCAGGAGTTGTCTTCAAGTGTAATATCTAACTCAAACAGATTTGCCAGCAGGTTAATATTCCTTCCCTTCCAAACCCCTTGCCCAAGAAATATGAAAAGAAGTTCGATCCCTGCCGTATAGAGGGAATCTATTCCATTCCTTTCTCTTGCGGAGGAGAATATATCGGGCAAACGGGCCGGTGCCTAAAGACCGCCTGAGAGAGCACTTCCGAGAGGACACAGGACAGAGAATATGCACACCAACGGAGCGCTCTGGCCTGTGTCATTCTTCGGGCTATTTTACCCTAAACACGCTTCGCCAACTAGTACAAATTCAACAGTATTACAATTCCGAGAGGTCGCCGATTCCAGCGAGGATTCAGCGCACCCGATAGCAGTACATCGCCGCACATACTGAGGATGTGCACCTAGGTTAAAAAAAGAATGCTTGCTCGGGCGCCATCCTCAGAGATTTGGGAGGGAAGTAATCGAATCGTTTGCAATAAAAAAAAAACCCCAAAAAACTCCGGTGTCAATGTCTCTTCCCCCTCGCTAGCCCCTCTGGTGCACGACGAACCGCGATGAGCTGATCCAATGCGCCTCTAGTAGGCATTGGCTGATCGCGGTCCGCCGTCTGCTATTCGGGGTTTTGTCAGCCTTGACTTTGCTTTGCTCGTGTAAACCCTACTGGACGGAAGCGAGCGCAACGCTACGGCTGCATCCTGTACAACCAACCACCCAACTTGCATGTGACCGGGTCATGTACACCCCACATGGGGGCACATGCCATTTAAACTTTTTATGGCTGGGCATCAAAACGTTTGCGTGATCCCCTCCTCCCCCTGTGATATCGGTGGTCTCGGCATTGGATGGATGGATGCTAATAACTGTACCCTTTACACCGGCCGGTAGCTTGCACCATGCACCTAGCCTTGAAACCAAAAGTATTATTCCTCCCCTCGCCCTTCTGAGCCAATTTGCTTCCCCTCGTAAACATCACCCGCCTACTTCTCCCCCCGGTGATGGTGTCGCCAATTTTCCTCTGGTCAAACCTAGTCGGCGCTACCCTAACACCGGGCCCACTGGGGAACAAGGTTGAGACTTTGGGCCGGAGCCAGCGGGAGGGTGTCCCAGTTTTCTTCTGTCCCACCTGTTCCTAGCTGTGCTAGTTAATTGCACTTCGTTAAATTTTTTTAGGATAATTTTCACTAATCTTCTAGCTTCCTCTTTGTGACTGTAATACTTCTTCATTTTTCCATCCTCGCCAGCATAATCCGACGCCCCTGTCAGATCCGTTACCCCTTCAGGGAGGGCAGGGCAAACATGGTGCACTTAAAAATCAAGTGTTCCAGTGCCTCCCTCTCACTGTAGCACACGGCACATGATGCGTCTGCCTTTGAAATTTAGTCTTATACGTCTTAGTTCTAACGCTCTTGTTCTGCCCTCAAACAGCAAAGAACTTCCACTTGAATTATCAGAGACCTTTTCCTTTCTTATGTCCTTTTTTTGTGACCTATACATTGTTAAAGCTGATTTTTCTTGCATTCTTTCCTCCAACATTTTCCTTTCGGCCTCTTTCACTCCCTTTTTCACTGAACTAGTTTGCTCAGCCCCATCACTAGTGTGCAGGTATTTATTTGTCAGCTGACGGGTTTGGTTTGTCCATTTCCTGTTAAACTTTCCAAGTATAGACCGTTCCATTAGGGTCATAGCAGAGAGGGTAAAAAGAGAAAAAAATGCCCTCCCCCTCTCGCCCGCATGTCGTCTGCTCCGCCGAGTGGGCAGTACCTAGCATCCGGCTGGCATACAAACCCTGTTTAAAATTGCGTCATTTTGGGAATTTCAAGTGCAGATGCGCAGATTTTGGTATGCCAGTTATCGTGTATTATTATGCTAGATAAAAAGGCTAACAGAGTCCAATTGCGCTGTTATCTGCATGCAAATAAAAAAAAAAAAAAAATATAGGGAAAACTGTGTCAGACTGGCTGTTGTCTCTGGTGAAAAGTGAATCCGGTGGCTCTACCTTTTTTACTATACAAAGTTTGTACTGATGTAGGCCTTTGGCGACCATGAGTGGATGTCTGAAATAATAAATAAAAACGTGCTCTCCTTCCACAATACATGCAGTAGTTGAGGGTAGTACTGCCGACTGACTCAACTGCTATTTAAGTAACGGAAAAAAGATATGTCAGTGGATCATTTACCGAAGTAGAACAACAGAGAGCTCTAGGCTGATTTTGGAGTAGCCATAACTATTCTAAGAACACGAACCACTTCACAACGGCAGCCACAAGCGAGAGTTCGATGTTCCATACAGCCCAAAGATGGAGAATGGCAACCTCCCGTTTTGTCATCTGCTAGCAGAATCGGGCGCGTGCCCTCTCTCTCGTTTTACCCCGCCGAACCCGCTGAATTTCCCGGATGTATGGAGAGGGCGCTGCTAACGAACAAAATGGTGCCGCCCAGAGAGCGCTAAATGGAATGGTCTATATATACCTGAATACTTTTCATGCCCACCGGGTATCATTAATTTTAGTTATCCTTTCTTCCAATTCAAATTTACTGATTGCCCTACTGCTGTCAAAGGACAAGCGTCGGCCCGTGCATTGCATTGTTTTGGGTGAACTCGAACGGCGCGTGCCGACGCTGACGCGGGCGTAAACAGATGAAAAAATGCTCCATGTGAGGGGCTACAGTGATTGCCAGGTCTTTAACCTGCTGCAACACTCTTCTTTTTTTGTTGTGATATGGAGGAGGCTTAATATTATTTTGTGGGGGCTGTTAAATATAAATGAGATGTCTATCCTAATTGAAGCAGTGAATTCCTTACCGGCACTTTATGGTAAATGCTGTTCAAAGTAGTCTCTTTATGCGTAGCTGATGCAACCTGCATTCTTTTTTGCCATTGCTGGTTATGAATTGTGCCTGTTAGGATTGCTTAAGCCTTTTCTATCTTATGTCATTTCTCTCAGATAATTTCTGATCTGTTCTTCACATTCATAATCAGTGCAGCCTGGTAAAGCAGGAGTTGCTCAGTGGTAAACTCCTAGTTCGACTTCCCCGAGACGGCCCCACCTACGTCACCTACTGTGCTGAGGTTCAGGCTTCATTGCAGATATCAAAAGAGTTTATGGTAAGTTGTCCTATATATTAAATAATATAATAACAACTTGTTGCTCGTGGCACCTTTAGCAGCGTTTTGATATAGTATAAATTCAGGAATTGAGAAAAAAAAATTTAGTCGAGAGAAATTAAATCACTAGAAGCAGGCACCAACAGAAGGGCAAATTAGAAAATAGATCACCTCTACAAATGTCAACAAATGTTAACCCACAATTCAACAATGCATAACCATTGTCTTGTGGGTTTATTGTTTACTTATTGGATCTGTATTGACCGATCTCGCTAAGCGGCCCATGCATACATGGCACCACCATAACTGCAGTTTACAGGAGGAAGATGGCAGTATGCGAGACAGCACATGCTCTGCTCGCACAGACCCACATAGGAGTTGTCACGTATGCAGAAAGACAGCAGTTTACATGATGTATTCTGGCAGCGGCAGCATAATTAAACTGACTGTGGAGATTAGTTTGTTTGTCAAGCCTTTAGACATTTTAATGATAGATAATGTGCAAATCATTCTTGTATGATATAGGTGGTACTTGCTGGGCACAAAATGTGAGCAGATAGCTACGGTGTTGTTGCTTAACTTGAACAAGAAGACACTAAGCATGAAAAATTCACAAGCCACACAAGAAAATTTCGTTCACTTTAGTCTTTGAGGCGCTTCACAGTTGCACATCATTAAGCAATTTGAAGGCGATGTACTACATGTAATAATGCTAGCCTAGCTCTTATACTGGGAAACCAGGAAGGTGCCCAAGAAGCGTAGCTAGTGTTTATTTGCTCAAAAAGAGTGGTGTGTTTTGTGTCGGTCTTGCACCTTGGCATTCCATTCACCGTTTTGGTATTAGGCGCTTAATTCTTATGCGTCCTTGGTTGTTTTGTTGGCCCTGGGAGATGTTGCGGGCTTATGTGATCTTATGTTTGGATGGGAACCACATAAAGTTGTTATTTGACACTTTTCTTGTCTCTTTTGTTATTGTTCATTGTTGTTTGAATTGAGCCCCTTGCTCACCTAAGTGCATAGTCATTGGGAGCTTCAGTCGATTGTGTTTTGTGGCACACACCTCAAAGCATGATTGAGGGCCTCGATTTGTGCTATCTGATAGGAAGATTGTCACTTCATAAATGATTAGAGGAAACTTTGTATTTTAATATGTCAATTCATTCTTTGGCATTCTGGATGTCTTTTTTGTGCTTGTTGTTTAGGCTTCTGGGTCATAGTGTTAGATAGGCCTGTAATTATCATAGACTCCATGGATTTGTCATTACTCTCTTCTGGAGTTGCCACGGGTGCTCAACCGACAAACTTGGTTCTGCTTTGATGTGGAGGGCAAATACTATATTGCTATAGATCTAGAAAACTTCATAAATCCCACACTTCCAAATTTTCTCGTGTATCTGATTAGGCAATACATACCTTTTTAGTATGTGTTTTTATCTAGGTTGAAACCAGGCACATAGCCAGGATTTTTTTTTTTTTTTTGGGGGGGGGGGGGGGCTTGCCCTTGACAAAATGCTGTATGAGGGGGAGGGGGGGAGGAGGCCCTAGCAAAATGGAAGATTTCAAGGGGAGGGGGGGGGGGGCTGGGTCCCATGGGCCCCCCCTTGGCTATGTGCCTGGTTGAAACTAAAAAAGGCTTTTAATTATCGACCAGATGCAGGATAAGAACATTTTTTAATGTGAAAGGGTTAACTGTCCCATGGAGCGAGCCAACGTCATCAGCCGCACCAAACGGCACCTAAATTCCCCTGTCCCAAAAAAAGGGAGGTGAAGCCACGATCTGAGGCATCCCAGCTTTAAAGCCGCGCAAAAAGCCGCGCAAAAGCCACGCAAAACGGCAGATAAATTTGCTTTTCCAAAAGGAGCGAAGTGCGGCCGATTTCTGATGGATTATGCTCCCATTGGCTGGTGCGCGTCATCCAGGAACGAGGCTCCCATTGGCTCTCGTGCGGCGTAATTCCGAAAGCTGCCACCAGAGAAGCCCTCTCCATGGTGACACAGTAGTGCATGCAGCGGCCCGGCAAGGTGCGGCGGTGTGAGCCTGGCCCTGGCCACCTGGCCACAGAGCCTGTTCGGGCGAACTTGGAGGAGGTTGTACAGCTCAGCTCAGTGCGGCTCACGAGAGGGCGCGCTTGGCCGTCGGCCACTACCTTGGCAGTACTGAAACATGGCCGCCCACACCACTACGCCGCAGACAAACTAAGGGAGCGGAAGAACGACATTCATGCTTTCGCATTCACAACTCATAAGAAGTGCTTAGGTGTCCTCAGACTTTTTGGGCCACTTAGTGTGGGAAAAAGTGGGGAGGGGGTTTTACGCAGTCTTGGGTAAGTTACTTTTAAAAAGTAATTCGTTACAGTTACAGTTACTTCCAGACAAAAGTAGCGAAGTTACCGTTACAGTTACTGAAACAAAAAAGTAACTCGTTACAGTTACAGTTACTTTTAAAAAGTAACGACGTTACTTTTCAGTTACTTTTCTATAACACACAAAAATTCGGAAAAAACTAGAAAACGCTGTTCTCCAAGTTTCTTTGCATAAAATTAAAAAAAAGTGTGCTTTTTACTTCATATTGTAACTTAGCAGCAGTTGCTTCTCGAAATTAGTGTCTGAAAGTTTCCCTCATTTCATAACGAACACGTCAATGCCCTTGCTGAACTGGCGCTCGTCTAACGCGCTGAATGGGAATGCCGTGTTGTTTCGCCGGAACAGGTTTTTGATTCCCCGGGTAGGCGTTGAGGCAACAAAGTGCCGTTTTCTGCGGTCAAGTTGTTTGTAACCACCTCCACCACAGCAAAACACTTTCTGTACGCCGGTCATGGTAGTTCTTCATTGTTCTTATCAACATTCATATCCTTGGTAGCAGTAGTACATTGCTGGCTCGTTGACGGTTCCGCTCGGTTCATAAGGTCCCGGGACATATTTCAGTTCGTACCCCGCAAGCCAGAAACAAACCCCGCGCAAACAGCAGTAAATATTGCCTCGACTGTTGATACTACACCAAAGTAGTGGCGCTAATCGAAATACGAAACATTCGCAGTGCCCTCGGCGTGTATTGTTGCTTCACGTTTGATTTTTTTTTTAATTGGAGTAAAAAGTGGCAGATGGAAATTAATTTTGAGAAATCTGTAGTTATGTCATTTACTAATAAGAAGGAACCGTCTGTTTTTAGGTATGGTACTAGTAATATAATTCTGCGTGAAGTTCATGAATACAAGTATTTGGGTATTTTTTTCACGCCTAGTCTCAAATGGGATAAGCACATCAGTTCTATTTGTTCTCGTGCTCTGCAAAGGCAAGGATCTGTCAAGAGAACCTTAAAATCTTCAACTAGGGAAGTTAAAGTAACGGCTTATAAGACCTTGATTAGACTTATCTTAGAGTATGGTTGTGCGGTGTGGGATCCGTATCTAAAGGGTAATTTTAAGCAGATTGACGGCAATACAATCAAAGGCAGCTAGATTTATTTGTAATATATATGACCGCAATTTTTCTCCTACATCTACTATGACTGACATAGGACTTACGCCTCTTGATTCTAGACGCGCTGTAGAACGGCTCAAGCTCCTACACAAAATAGTGAATAATAACTGTGCACTTAATCGGGAAATATATGTTGGTTTTGTTACTGAATCACGCACTCGAGGCTTCCATCCGTTAAATCTTGTACTGTACAGATCCCACCTTAACTGTTTTAAATATTATTTTTTTCCTCGAACGAGAGAAAATTGGAATAACATAAATGGATCAGTTCGTTGTCTCGATTTTGATAGGTTGGTATTATACATACAGTAGGTGTCCTGGTATGGTGCCTGAATCTGTAATTGAAGTGTATGTGTTTGTTTTTGTACTCTTTTTTATTATGCATTTTTCACGGTTTTTTTAAGTTTCGTAGGTGTGTACATCTTAAATCGATGGCCTTTTTGAATGTATATGTATGTTTTCTATCCACTCCTGCGACGACCTCATCGAGGTCGCAGTATTTTGAAATAAATAAATAAATAAATAATTCACACGATTAAAAAGCGTTTGCGCAGAAAGAAGAAAAACCGTGAAAGAGATAGTTCTTCAAGATACTAAGATGCAAGTGTTTAGTCACAAGGTACAAGCGCGTGCTAAAGATAACTACTTCTTTTTTTCACCAAATCTACGCGTGGCTATATTCGGGTCGTGACTGCGGAGAAAGAACGTATTCACAAGATTGTGCAAAAAATAACTTTACACTCGAAATGTCGGAACAGACAATTTGGAAAGCGCAAAGAATGGCTAAATTGTACTCGTTCAGTGATATATTATTCATAGAAAACTGGAAAGTAACGACAAAAGTAACGTCGTTACTTTTATCGTTACCAGAGAAAAAGTAATAGAACTACAGTTACAAGTTACATTTTTAAAAAGTAACTCGTTACAGTTACAAGTTACCAAGAAAGTAACAAAGTTACAGTAACGCGTTACTAGTAACGCGTTACTACCCAAGACTGGTTTTACGTGGCAAAGTAATGGAGGGTTTTGGCATGCCCCTGTGGAGGACTGAGAATTCATTTTTTCCACCTGGTGATCTCTTGATTTCCACTGAATTCTTGGTTGCAGGACTACTTCTCCATCAGATTGCAGGCACCTGAACCGGGATTCACTCCCTGCCACCCGGGGTCCCTGGGTTGGTGCTTTGCCTCGAAGCCACTGAGGTAAAATTGCGTCCTTTCCCTAAAAGAAAAACAAAACAAAGCGGCTTTTTATAAGAGATTGATTGAACTTGTGTTTAAGAGAAGACACCATGTGAAGTCTTTGACAGGCAGTGCAATTTATTATAATGTTGTTTTTCTAGAGAGAAATCAACATAATGTACACATACACAAATGTACAACACTGAGCTAACCAACTAGTCTGCTGGTTGGCATAAAAATACCAGTGAATGGAATAACATTTTTGCTGCACTGAAAAGTAACCACACATACAATGCTCTTCTTTGCGACTCAGTCCACCAAACCGGTGACATTGTATACACAAACAAACAATAAAAGTATACAATGCTAATGCTAGAATATATCAGATATTCATATATACATACCCCCCCCCGATAATATGCAATACATAAAACAACGCAGGAAAGCAAAAGGTGAAATTCTATATGCTCGCTTTTTTAAATTTCTATTAATTGAATGTATATTTCGAATCTGACTTAGCTGCTCAGATGAGTTGCTTGTTTCTCGCCATCTTTATAAAGTCTTTACAGCTGTATACCAAATTAAACCGCACACGGAGCTCCGCTTTAACCGTTAAGACGCTTAGCTGATTTCTTTTGTCCGTCCACAAGTTCTTCATCACGCTAAAGGCGCGTTTCACAAATGCATTGCTGCAGGGAATGGAGAAAACATATGTCATTAAGTTCTGTAAAGGGAGGCACTTGGAGTGTATTGCAGGGTGTTCTGTGCAGTGTTTAGTTTATGTGACAACTGTGAACTCTCAAGGAAATGGACACTAAACACTCAAGTTCAAAGGAGTAGCCGGCGCTGCTATAGCAGCAGCCAATGTCTTCTTTTCATTTATTTTGATCAGTTATTAAAGAAAGAAAGAGGCACTTGACCTCTCAAGAATTTGAGCCAGATCGAGCTCGATTTCTTGTCATGTCCAGTCTTGGATAGTAATGCATTATACTTTTTAAGAACTTGTAACTGTAATGTGATACTTTTTAAAAATGTAACTTGTAACCATATCGTGGATGAAGAAAGAATAAAACAATTAAAACAGGGACGACACAACCACATCTTTCACCTTCATTTTTCGTGAAAGATGTGGTTGTGTCGTCCCTGTTTTAATTGTTTTATTCTTTCTTCATCCATGACTTAAACCAACACGCTCTTCTCCCAAGCATTGTAACCATAGTTCTATTACTTTTTCTCAGGTAACAATGAAAGCAATTGACAACGTTACTTTTGTTGTTACTTTCCAGTTTTTAATGAGTAAAATATCATTGAACAAATACAATCTAGCTATTTCTTGCACTTTCCGAATTGTCTGTTCAGACGTTTGGAGTATCAAGTTGGCCTTGTACAAACTTGTAAATACGTTCTTTCTCGCACATCACGACCTGAATATAGCCACGTTTAGATGTGATAAAAAAAAATTTAGTCATTTTTACGTACGTGCTTGTACTTTATGACTGAACACTTACATCTTAGTATCTTGAAACACTATCTATGTTGCCTCTGTTCTTTTGTGCAAACGCTTTTTAATCGGGTGAATCAACCATGGAATAGCAACACACCCGGAGGGCATTGCGAATGTTTTGTATTTTGATTAGCGCCACTAATTTGCACTGCACATGCTTCATATTTTGATTTGTGCCACTACTCCGGTGTGGTATCAACAGTCGAGGCAAAATTTACTGTGTTTGCGCAGGGTTTGCTCGTTGCTCTGGTTGGGCGGGGTCCGTTCAGCAAGGGCAGGGACGTGTTCGCCTTCAAACGAAGGAAACTTTCAGACACTAATTTTGAGAAGCAACTGCTGCTAAGTTACAAATGAAGTAAAAAGGATACTTCTTAATTTTATGCAATAAAACTTGGTGAGGAACGTTTTTCTAGTTTTTCCTCAATTTTTTGTGTTATAAAAAGTAACTGAAGAGTAACATTATTACTTTTTAAAGGGTAACTGCAAAGAAAAAAAAAGTTTTTTTAAACAGCCTAATTGGGACAAGCATGTCACAAAACAAAGCTTCCGCGAAAAACAAATTTTTTCTAGCAATATTTACGCCACAGGACGTAATTTAGTCGGGAGTTACAACTTCTCCACATTTGAAACTCCCACTCTTTCGACACGCAGAGTGGCTGTTATACGTCGCTCCGTGACGTATAGCAGTCACTCTGTGACGTACAACACCAACTTTGTGGCGCGCAATTTAAAACTGACGAAATAGCCGCAAACTAAAACCAGTCTCGCGCAATAAGCATTGCTGTAAAAAGTTTTGTTTTTGGCGGAGAAATTGTTTTTGACATGCTTGTCCCCTTTAGGCTGTTTAAAAATACACTTTTTTTGCAGTTACCCTTTAAAGTAACTATAATGACTTACCCTTTTGTTGCAGTAACTGCAACAGTAACTTCACTACTTTTTTCTTAAAGTAACTATAACTGTAATGGATTACTTCTTAAAAGTAACTTACCCAAGACTGGTCATGTCCTAGAAGTCCAGGGAGAGTATCCTTCAAGACACAAAGCTCTGAGTACAGTTGATTGTCTTCCTCTTCAAAGTTTATGCCAAAAAGCTCTGCTACATTAATCACGACTGATATGCTGGGTGCACCTTTGCGCAGATCCAATTCGGAGAGCCTCTTATGCGGGAAGTTCTCGAAGTCAAACCACTTTTCAAGGTACATGAGGCCCCTGCCATAAACATTCTCGAAGTCCAGCACTGCGATGTCTGTCGGGAAGGATTTCCAGTCCCTGATTAGCCTTAGCACCAAAGAACATATCATCCTTCCGGTTAATCAGCTGCTTCCTGAGCTTAGCCATTACAGTGGAAAGTTCTGTTGGCTCAAGGTGACTCTTTTTGAGTGTGAGGATTGCTGGATGGAACATTGCAAGGAACAACAAGGGGGGGGGGGGGGGGGGGGGGAGGGGGGGGAACACAGTCTGAAAGTCCATCGGCTTGGTTGCCAATAAATCTCCAGATTTCTTTTTCACACTCTTCCTCGCCCTGATGTAGAAAGTAGGACTTGATGGGTGCCCAGTCCTTGATCAGTCTGTGTAAGGCTGTGAAAAAGCTTAAGGGGGAGACACTGGCTGGAGATTTAACTTCTGAACTACTCAAGTTTTTGGAATTATGTTTTCAGGAGAGATTTAACATAAGGTGTAGGTGTATTGTACATACTTTCAGCTCTCTAGCACAATTTTACACCTGCACAACAAGATGTGTCCTTCTTTGTTAAGAAATCTATGATTTGCAAATGATGCTATTAAGCACCATTTTGACTGCTTGAATATAAAGTGGGGGATGTAAGACTTTGGGCTATCTGGTTTTTATAACTCAAATGTAAATATTTTAGGAAGACCTCAAAATATTAGATGTATATCTGTCCTATGTAAATTTTCGAAAACATAGTTTTTTCTCATTGAAGACTTGAACTTAAAACAAAATAAGGTAAATAGCCCCATTCCCCAGTAAATTTCACTTCAGAGACATCTTGATTGTAAAATCAGAATTATTTTACCTTCAAACAAAAGATTCCTTCGTTTGAAATTTGCAGCAAAAAGTGGAACTGAGAAATACGCATTGAATTATTGAACTCCTTTACTTTGTTACTGCCTCACAATGTGTTGAAAATATTTTATATCAACTTAACTATTTGATGTATGGTTATCATATTTGGTGTAAGGGTGTATCATTAGTTTCAAAAACCGAAAAAGTCAAAATTGAAAAATGTTTTTTTTAAAAACAAATTTGGTATTTAGGCCCTTGACCCCCTTAACCAGCGGACAGAAATATGACCCAGCACTTTGCTGTATTCCTGATCACAGAAGTCGAAAAATGTCTTCAATTCCTCTACACATTTCGAGCAAGAAGAAAATTCTTTGAAGACCTTTAGTACAAGGTTCTACGTAAAACTTTAAAGACTTTCCTGCGTGCTTGGCAGCGTTGTGCACAGCATGGTAATTGCAATTCGCCTTCGACAAGTTTGGCTGATCTTTCTGCAACCTCTGGAAAACACAGTTATGTTTCTCATAATTCACATAAATGTTATCCGCTCTATACACAACTGCTCGCTTCAAAGAAAGACCCAGCTTCTCCAAACTTGTTGCCAAGAGTTGGCAGATGCCACTAGAAGACTCGTCTGCCTGCTCACAGAAGTTATGAGGACATTCATTATTTTGGCACCATTTACGTCGTAGAAGCACACGGCGATAGAGAAATGTTTTTAATTTCCCTTGTTGGGGGCATTCGTTTAAAAAGCAAAGGGGAGGTTGCAGCCTGCTGGGCGAATTTTTTCGACTATTCACCCCACTGCATAAGGCGCCAGCACATCGTTCTTCCGAGTTGCATTCTGGAAGAAACGTCCAAATCCGGGAAGGCTTTTGGTTCCAACTTGTTGCTACAGTCTATTGACAGATAACTGTAGTTGTGCTTGATTCCATGGAATATGGTTCCTAGTTCTGCAACAGTCGCCGTATCTTCTGCACTAGAAGTCGCTGGAGCAAAAAACTTTGTGAGCCGGCCGACTGTTTCGAGGCAAGGTTCTTGTGCTTACGTGTCTGCGTTGTTGGGTGATGCTTGACAGCACTGACACCATCAAATTTCGCCAAAACGTGCTCGCGCATAAAGTACACTTTGCGGCTGTGGCGTAGTCGTCCATGGACAGGAGCTAACTCTCGTACTGGGGTTAAGATATCAGTCTTTCTGGAACACACACTGATGTAATTTTAGCTGTTTTGAAGGCGGAGAATTGGCACTCATGGTGCAAGCAAAGGAAGCCTGTGACCACTGATGCTGGCTCTATTCTAATGATCAGTATACTTGAAGGGATCTTGCTTGCAGTTTTTATGGGCACAAGATAGACTGGTTGACAAATAGTGTAGGAGTTGTGGTGATTGACGTAGGGAATGCTTCTGTATAAAACCAATTGCTTTGCTGCGCACGGTACTGCCCTCCAGGACCCAATCTCGAGTAGGTGGTATAGCAGAACACGGATAGCTTTGCACTCAGTTCCGCCTCAAACCTAAGATGTGTTTAACGTCCCTTTAGAAAAAAAGACAGACACATCTTTTGCCACGTAAATAATTTATGGCAGGGATTTAAATATAGTTAGAAAGCAAGCCAGAACATAGCAGCGCGAACCGATGCTCTGAAAGAGTACCGAAAAAGCGACAATACTGGCGTCTTTCTTTGATCGTCTGTGATGGCTCCACTGACAGTGACAGTGTGCCCAAAGAATGAGTCAGCATTCAACGTGCAGCTCCTATTGTACGCAGTCTTCTCTGTCACTTTGAAATGCACACAAGCCACTACAAGCAAGTAGCCACGGCCGCGAGAGCCGCGCATCCCTTCCTAGACATCGTAGGCATGTGGTTGGCTCATGGCACTCAAGCAATTAACTTTGAATGTCCCCTTATTCTCGCGCAAAGCTTTCCGAAGAAGAACGAATAGCAAGAAGAAAAAAAACTATGGAGGTCCAAAGAGAGAGCAAGGTCTGAGAGAAGCACATACGCCGACAGTGTGATTGGACACCCGATAGCACCGTGCGTTTTTGCCAGTATACAAAAGCCGTAAATCCAACGCCTCCCAGAAGGCACATCAATAGCCTCACAGCTATCAGGAAGGCACATAATTATTTTATAGCAGGCACCTGGAAACAGAAGGAAATTCTGAAAAGATGCTTGGAGAGGGTATTGAAGAAACGAGAATGTGTGTATTCTTTTGATCGTGCACAATAGCTCCACTCCAGCTGTGTATGTTAGCAGGAACGATGAGCCGGCACTCAGCGTGCAGCTGCTACCCTGACTATTCTTTGTCATTTTGGGACACAGGCAACCTACAAAGTGGCAACAGCTGCCAGAGACGCTCAGATCTTACTAGACAACGTCACCATGTTTCTCTGGCCTTGGCACTTAAACAGTTAAATGTAGAACTAACAGGGAGGGAAAAAAAAACATAAGGGTTTGAAGTAACAACGGCAATATTACACCATGCTTAGTGGAAGGGGAAAGTGCATACGTTGTCCGTCTCAATGGACAAACGAAGCGCCGTGCGTATCTTTGTCAAGATGCCGCCAGTCATTAAAAAAGGCTCGGGGTACTCCTAAGCACTTCTTACGAGTTATGAATGCGAAAGCATGCAAGTCGCTAGTTTGCTCCCTTGTTTCGTCTGCTGCATACTTTTCGTCGACGGTCAGCGCGCACGCTCTCCTGGGCGCGCTGACCTTGGACGCTTCGTGTTAGCGGTGCGTTGACGGACACGCAGCACCATGGGGTAAGCGGTCGTTGAAACTGACGCGCAGTGGCCGATGGGAGCCTCGTCGACGCGCGCCAGCCCAGGGGAGCCGAAAATCAATCAGCTTTACTCCGCTCTTTTGGGATCGGGGAAACTAGGCGCCGTTTGGCTAGGCTTTTCGCATGGTTTCATAGCTGGGAGCTGGTATTACTTGGAGAAAGGATTTAAGGTGCCGTTTGGCGGGGCTCGCTCCATGAGACAGTTAATGCTTTCGCTTTAAAAACCAACACTTCCCAAAAGGCACAGCTATTGAGTTGACATGTCACCAAGTTGCATGCCGGCATCTTGCTTTTTCTCACTTTTCCTCATTTTCATGCTTTCTACGGCGCTCCCGGTGGTCGTTCTTTTTTGTGTTGTCCCTACCCGTCTTCCTCCCCTCCCTCCGCCCTCCATCTCAGGGTGCGCGCTCGCCCGCATGCTTTCTCTAGTCTTGTGTCCTTGCGGTGTTTGTATAATAGACTTTTTGTAGCGTGAGCTACACTGGCCGAGGTTGAGCAGTTTCGCGTGGTTCCTGAAGAGCCGGGCTGCGCATGTGCGAGGAGCAGTGACGTCACACGGTGCACAGCTGGGCGCCGGAGCCGCCGTCGCCGTGCGCGCTTTGCCGGTCTGCACATTTCAGAGGAGTGACGTCATAGCCGCGGCAGACGCACTGGCGCCGCCACGTGCCCAGCTGTGCGCCTTCGTTGTGCAGTGGCCAAGTCTGACGCTGCACCAGAGCCGCCTGATAGCGCCTCTCATTTTGTGTGCATGCGCAGAGGTAATGTGCGTATGCCATGTGTGTGTCATTGAAGCAGCAGTAAGCATTATAATGAAGCTAATCCTAGACAACCAGGAAAGCTAAGAATAACCAGCTGAACCTAAGCTTACGCTACGTATATGCTGGCATAGCCGAGCTAAGCCACTGCAATTTTTTTTTTCGTCAACAAATATTTGTTGTTGTAGTTGTTGAATTGTTGCTTAAAAAGCACCAAGAAAATAATCACGATACGATGGCCTAACCCCCGGCCAATGGCAGCCGGTCTTGGGTACGAACCAGCAATTGCCCCGCTGTCTCGAAAACCGGCGGGACTGGTCAGAAACCGGGCAGGTCGCAACCCTAGACTGATGTTTTCACCCACTTAGAGGGGGGGGAGTCCTTATTTGTTAGTGTGGCTGTAGTACCAACTAATAATTGAAAGGCTTTGGTTAATTTAATAAAAAATCCTATGACTTAGCGCAGTGATTGTATTTCCAAACATTGTTTACAATGTCTCGTGTTAAGTATAGTTGGTCCAACTTTTGTCTTCTGAAAAGTTATGGCTTGGGTATCCTTGCATAGTAAATTTTGATTTTTAGAGTTGATCTTACTTTTTAGATCTTGTGTGGTTTGTGTCTAAAAGGCTAATATCCGGTCTTAATATTAATCCTTTGTGCAATCTTGGCCCAGCAGCAGCTATCATGGACCACAAGGATCGACCTTGCCGAGACACGCACAGCCTGCAATGTTCTTGCTTCATGGCAGCCGTCAATGGTAGTTTTCTGAGAAAACTTGCCTTGGGACCTCACGTATGTTTACGGTAAGTTGCTGTATATGGTAAGTTTTCCATAACACTTCTAACAATAGTACTATATGGAAAATGAATAGTGGCAAGCCCCATAGATCATTTCTGAAAATCTGTCAAGCAACCGTAAAATAGCAACGTTAATGCCATTACTGCATCCACCACGTAAGTGGTAGTGGTTGGCCGCAATATTACCACTGGTTGTAGCTGGCACTGCAGCTACAACCAGTTACTGCAGAATCATTGGGCTTTTAAAGTTCTTACGCTCAATTTCAAATGTTCCGTGAAGTGTCATCACATGCATGGGAACAGGCTTTTCTTGTACTCATTCAGTTCGCGCACTTGTGCTCATGCAGACCAGGTGTTTTGCACCACTGCACTCCCTGCCAGCGCTGCAGCCGCCTCTGCTCCTCTTGGTGCCTAGAATGCGTTCACAACTCGTGAGAAGTGCTTAGCTGTCCTCGGATTTTTCTGTGCAAAATATCAATTTGAAGAGTGATCCACATAATGGGGCATTTTCTCCTTACCAGAGACCCTACTTTTTAACAATAAAAACTTAATTTAAATAAAAAAGATATTTAGTTAAGTGTCTTCTTAATAAATTTGTCCGGAAATATCCACGGCGAAGGATAAATTCGGCAATTCATTCAAATGATAGACTTCCTAATACGGAAGTTGCTGCAAAAAAGTAAAACTAAAAAACACATAGGTATTTGAAATTCCCACACTGCTATATTTGATTTTACTCTGTACTGGTGGTGGTAGCAACTATACTAAGTTTCACCCTATGTTGGCCCGAAGTGGACGCTTTAAGCCATCTAAGCCAATCCAGCAATTCGAAAATATCGCATGACTAAGTTGGGGCGCGGCGCGCCGTATGATCTCTATAACACGCCTTTAGCCGCTACGCCCCTTCCTAAAATCACGTGACTCTCACACCGGCATTGGATTGGCTTTGTTGGCACGTAGCATTTTCTGCGGTCCACCGTAAAGTGAAACTGAGTATACATAGGTGGTGCGTTCTGCTTACACCCGATCCCCTGCATGGCTTTGCTGAGAGCTTCCAACTAGGGGTGTGCGAATACCGAATAGTAGTTCTCAAATCAAATACCGAATTGAATTAAGAAAAAAAAAAAAAGCCGAATATTGAATAGAATATTGAATACTGATTTTAGTTGTAGGAATTTTTTTAAAGTGTGCTGTGAATGAGATGATTATTTGTGCAGAGTATGCACCTGTTGCAGAATATGCATCTCTTACGGAACAAAAGATTTAATGTATAAGAATACTGGTTAAAAAGAAAAAAAAGAAAAAAGAAAAAGCAGCTGCTGATGGCTGTTGGGCACTAAAGATCCAATTTAATGGCGCAAACATAATCTATCTACCCTAAACGTCACAAAAAACCCAAAGTTACAGCCACACGTGCCTTTTTTTCTCGTTAAAAGCACAACCTAACACCGCAACATGTTATTTTTTTTATATTTTCATATCAGAAAAGGGGCATTTTGCAATATTTGGTCTCAATTTTAAGAAAGAAAAAGGGCACCTGGGATTTTATTTTATATAAATAAACAGAGAGCTTTTAAATCTGAGTAAACAAGCTTAAGCTATTTAATGTGAAGTAAGAAAAAGCTTGTGATTAGGTGGCGCAAGTCACCGCCCAAGTGCCGCTATGCATCCATCCCTCCGTCCGTTTATCCTTTTTTAGAAAGCCTAGATTTAGAAGAGGGAGCAAGCGAAACTGCAACCACGGAGACGGCTCCTGCACAGATTGGTCATAAATGCGCACGTGTTGTGTTGTCGCATGGAAAGAAGGCGAGAAACGGAAGAGCTACGGCGCCTGTCCGATCAACGCTTTCGTCTTTTTGTCACCTTCTCGCATTTCGTAATTCAGACGAGGCTATCGAACGGTTGGAGACCCTCCCAAATCTAGGCACACTATTTTTCCGTTATGTTTCGTTCCGAGTCAGAATTTGCAGCTTGCAGTTCCAAAAGAATGACGACGACAACTCAACTGGTTTCATCGGCGCAATTGACGTGTTTTTCTTTTTGTGACCTTACAGTCGCCGGTTTCTGTGAGTATGGCAAGTGTGTTCTACAATACATCGGCGCTTTTTACTCGTGAAAAGAATTAGGCATGGCACGGAATTCCGGCCTCCTAACAATTCCTCTCTGGAAGCGGCGGAAACGGGATGTTTCTTTTATGATTCAAGGTTAGATTGTGCCACGGTCGTAAGTAAATCTGAATGCTATAAAGTTTCTGGCGTTCGTTACTTTTATTTTTTATAACCTGTGCGTCCGATTTTCTTGGAATGGTAGGACCAAAAGGTGTTTCTTGCATGGTCTCTCTAACATCATGGCGCAAACATCGGGAGAAAAAACGTCTCTTTTGTCAGCTCCGCCTCGACCGCACGTCTTTGGCCAAATATATAGAATATTCGTGTGACCGAATACTAGGAATTTGAATTGTGAATCGAATTATTTGGGAACTTACTATTCGATTTGAATTAATATATTCAAGTATTCGCACACCCCTACTTCAAACACTTTCTTCAAGTGTATTTTGTTGTCGGCATGTGGACATTGATTGTGAAATGAGGGAGGAATTGATTATGTTCACAGTATACAAACTAGCATCAGCAATTGTGGGCTGGGCTTTCATTGTCAACAAAGCAGACAAGCCCACATGACTTTCTATAAACGAATGTTGGTTTTATTTCAGTTTCTGTTCAATCAGAACGGGCTTTCCAATTCTTGTCCACGTGCATAGCCTCTTCCGCATGAAAGCTGATCTTTTATAGTATTCTTGCCCAAATAGTGTTTTCTTTCGAACAAATTGATATTTAATGTACACCAAAATGTGAAGAAATGCTCTTTCTATCGAGAGAGTGGTCATCATCCTAGTGCATACTGATGCAGAGCTACAGCAGTTAGAAACTAGGAAACGTCAAACTTTCACATTTGCCAAACGTACGATTTTGCATCATCGGCTCACCAAAAATGTTTTGTTTTTCCGTAAATATTACTAATATTGCAATTAAAATTTGCAGGAGTGTGCACTATTGATTGGGGAAGCACAGTACATAAAAATAAAAAGTCATTTTTTTCTAAAAGAAATTGCAAAAGGTAGTGTCCCCCCCTTAATCCTGCCAGTAAACTTTCTTTGGTGGGCTACGTTTACAGATGAGGCTTCCAGGTGTGCAGGCTTGAGGCACTGGATGGCAACCACATCATCTTTTCTGTTGACAAGAATGACAAATATGTCCACCCTTCAGCTTATTACTCGGAATGACCCTTGATATTGTGGGCCTAGAGCTTACCTGCGATGGTCTGGGCGGTCGAAAACGTACATAGCAGTTTTGAAGTTCTCTGTTAGGTACGAACTCATTGAACCCTCCCGAGTTGGTGTGGGACGAAGGTTCTCAAAGGCCTTCCACGGAGCCTCAACATAGTCTTCAGGTCTTGGTGATGTTGTGTCGGCCTAAAGAAAGTCTTATGGTAGCGGGCTGTTTATACTCCTAGCGTTGAAGTGCGCATCGTGCTCTGGTGCAAAATCACGTTTGTCGGCCAGTACACTGCACCACATCGCGCTGAGCAGCACCCGACCAACCATGTTTACAGGCAGGCGTAGTTCAGTGTGGCCCAGCGCGCTTTGATGAACTGACCCACTTTGTGTGTGCACGTCTCCATGGTAACCGCATTGTCTCGTGCAGTGTACTTTCCCTTCCTGATCGGTACCAGTCGTGCGATCGGTCGGTGTGGTCCTTCCGTTTCATGGCGTAAACATTCAAAGTAGAGATCCGGGGCAGTGGTTAGCTTTTTGATAACAAGCAAATGGTAAGAATAACGAGTGCAAACTGGTGTTTATTTTCTTGCAAATGCCGCACAATACGTAAGCGGAAAAACGAAAGACCACCATATCGCATCCTTCGAACCTAGCCACTCGGAAGGTTCGCTGGAGTCATGCCAGGCGACCGCGGTGAATCCGCAAGGCTGCTTCTATGGAAGCGATGCACTCGCTATTCAGCAGCCATTTCTTTCTGACAGATGGCAAATTTACTATCGTCGTAGCTGTCCTTTCATGTTGACTGAAGAAAATGAAGAAAGCGGACAATGCCACAATGACATAATATGAGCGTTCGAAATTGCAGTGCACTTAATGGAGTCTAAACAAACAATCCAGGCTTCAGTCTCATTTTCATCGCATACCGCGACTATTGTTTACAGGCTGAGATACCTAAAAAAAAGTATTGGCCGGCTAAAAAGTTTAGATATACAAATATTTTCCAAAAGCCGGCGAAGTGATATTTTAAAGAGTTTCGCTCCGGATCAACTTAACAAAACAAATAACAAAAACACACAGATGTTTCGCCACCTATATGGGCGGCATCATCACTATACACTGGCCATGGTGAAAAGCCTTTCTAGCCCTCCAAAATATCTCCGTACACATCCTGTAAGGACCCGCTGTGGACATTGCACGCCATGGAGTCATGGCAAATATACCACGACTCCACGAACTTCCACGACCCCCATCTCTGCTCACATGCCAAGGTCACCACACTGTTGAAATCAAAAGAATGCCCCGTCGTCCAGCAGTGATTAACAAGCTCGGATTTCATCCGTGTGGTGTGCGTCGAGTTGGCGACACCTTTTTTGTGCTCTTTGAGACAAGTGCTTCGTCATCTCTTCATTTCCCCGATGTAAGTGGCGTTGCAATCGCCACAGCTAACTTTGTATATGACTCCACTTTGGGAATGCGGAGGAGTGCGGTCTTTCGGCTTAGTGAACGCATTAAACAAAGTGCGAAATGGCATTTAAACACTGTTCAAATGCCCAACGATTATCAAGCTCTCCTGATCGAGTCTAATGCACCCCGGACGTACAGACTGGCAACCACAGATTTGTCTCCTACCCTCTTGTTGGTTTTACTACTCCGCATGCCCTTCCGTGTGTCCTCTGTAAGAGCCTTAAAGGTGCACTGAAAACGTTTCTAAGATCGTCTGTTCCTGGCAATAACTCATTGTACGAGATCTTAGCATCACAGAAATCGAAAAACAGGGGAATGTACGCCGGGGCGCGCGCGACGTCTTCTTTCCTGCACAACACTTGATCCGGCTCCTCACGTGATCGGATCTCGGTGAATAGCGGCGCGGCGGCAAGTGGAAAACAGACGCGCAACTCTGGCTTCCGCAAGGGAGTTTCTACAGGAACTCTAGATAGCTGGAAAAGTTGCCGCCATCTGCGAACGACGGTGGAAACCTTACTGGTTGTGTGCTTGCCGCCGTCGCTTATAGATGGCGGTAGCTGTCCAGGTAGGTTTGTGTCGACATATCAGACACAATCTTGGGGAACCTAGCCCTTAACAGCTTCGCTGTAAAAACGTTCAGCCTTTCCACTCTCGTGAAGAAGGAAGACCCAGCGGAGCTGTACTCAATACACCCCCGCAACGCGCATGCGCTCGATTCCCGCTTCTTCTCGTCTGACACGCCGCCGATCGTCGATACATCTCCAACAAACCCGAGTCGGTCGCACACGGCGCACGTGACGCCAAACAGGTTCTTCACGAACTCCCTCTGGAACCTCGTCGTCGCACCCGGGAACTGTTGAGCCGGCGTGGAGTGTGCAGTCGTCGCCGGGCCTCATGCTTGCGCTTCGTCTCCGTGGCACGATCGTCGTCCGTGGCATTGGCCCGCCGGTGCCCTTTACATCGCCGGTTCTGTTCTCGGCGACGGTTTTCCAGGTGAACAATGTGCTCTTTGTCAAGGGAATCTGAAGTGCTGGATGCAGCGTAAGTCAAAGCGACAGCGGCTTTGCGGCGGTTGCGGACCCATTCACGCTGCTGCATAAGTTGCCGCTCCTTCCGCAGCCTGTCTCCTTTCCCCGAAAGGGCGCGTGGCCAATCCATCGTAAGTCCAAACTGAAACTGATAAGAGCATAGGAGCAAAGGAAACAGTGCACAAAACAGACGAGGACGAAGAAACAAACGTAACAAGCGCTGCACTCGTTACGTGTGCTTCTTCGTCGTCGTCTGTTTTTCGTTGTTTCCTACGATGATTTCCCACCAACGTGCTCAACTATCCATTCTTCCATGATGGCTGTAGAGTTCCTGCGGGAGCCAGAGTTGCGCGTTCACCCCCGGAGCGCCGGCATTGCTGCACGGCATGCGGAGTCTGTTCCTCACGTGACTGAATTCAACGACTAGCGGCGCCGCGCATTCGAAGCGCGCGGCGTGCTCAAAAGCAGGGAAACGTACACTGGGGCGCGTGCGACGTCCTCTTTCCTGCACGACACTTGATCCGGCTCCTCACGTGATCTGATCTCGGCGAATAGCGGCGCGGCGGCACGTGGAAAACAGATTCGCAACTCTGGCTCCCTTAGGGAGCCTATGCAGGACTCTAGATAGCTGAAAAAATTGCCGCCATCTACGAGCGACGGCGGAAACCATACTGGTTTTGTGCTTGCCGCCGTCGCTTATAGATGGCAGTAGCTGTCCAGGTAGGTTTGTGTCAACGTACCGGACACGATCCTGGTGAACCTATCGCACTGTAAAAAAGAAACAGCACCACTGTAAAAAAATTATTCTCAAGCAATGTCTATTTCCCTACTAAAAACGTGATTGAAGTTAGTGCCACGCCATTTTCTGAGCAGGAAAATCTGGAGCACAGAATCCAGTGGAGGCGCTGGCGGCGTGACGATGGGCGCGCGGACTGGCTGGCGCGCGCCCATCATCTTGCTGCCAGCGCCTCCATTGGATTTTGTGCTCCAGATTTTTCCGCTAAGAAAGGGGAGTGGCACTGACTTCTATCACATTTTTAGTAGGGAAATAGACATCGTACGAGAATAATTTTACAGCGGAGCTGTTAAGGGCTAGGTTCTCCAGGATCGTGTCCGGTATCAAACGCCTCTCGACACAAACCTACCTGGACAGCTACCGCCATCTATAATCGACGGCGGCAAGCACACAACCAGTCTGGTTGCCGCCGTCGCTCGTAGATGGCGGCAACCTTTCCAGCTATCATAGAAGAATGGATAGTTGGGCGCGTTGGTGGGAATTCATCGTAGGAAACAGAGCGAAAAACAGTCTACGACAAAGAAGAAGCACACGTAACGAGCGCAGTGCTCATCACATGTGTTTCTTCGTCCTCGTCTGTTTTGCGTGCTGTTTCCTAGGCTCTTATCAGTTTCGGTTTGGACTCAGAATGGATCGGCCGCATACCCTTTTGGGGAAAGAAGACTGGCTACGGAAGGAGCGGCGACGTACGACCGACTCTGGTTCGCTGGAGACGTATCCACGATCGGTGGCATGTCGGACAAGAAAAAGGGGGACGGGCGCGTGCGCGTTGTGGCAGTGTATCGAGTACGGCTCCGCTGGTCTTCCTTCTTCACAAGAGTGGAAAGACTGAACGTCTTTCAATTTCTGTGATGCTAAGATCTCGTACAATGAGTTATTGCCAGGAACAATCTCAGAAATGTCTTCAGTGCCCTTAAAGGTAGCTGCGGTTTTCCAGGGGGCCGATAACCTTCGCTAATTCCTGTGATCGCAGGTGATCATTTGACGACAGTTCATCACATCGAGACAAAAAGTATAAGGACATCTACCGCACTTCTATGAGTTCTGGATGCGAAAGCATGCCGCATGCGACATATTGCTTTCCCCTCACATTGTCGAAGGGCCTTGCTCTCTTGCAGCCTGAGACGCTTTGAATCGTGATTCGCTTGCGCCTCGCGAGGACCGAGTGCGCACTCTCGTGAAGTGGCAGGCACTGCACTGAGCTCTGCCATGCTACGTCTCCAGAGTCTGCGCGTGCGGGTTCTGCAGGCTTTGCAGCCGCTTTCTCTTAGCAGCGGTCGGGCCGTAGCGCTGCCTTGGAGAGGGCTTCTTTGGTGGCGTTCCTCCGAAATACGCCGCGCGAGAGCCAATGGGAGCCCTGTTCGTTCAAACTATGACTCGCGCCAGCCAATGGGAAGCCTGCCCATCAGATTTCCGCTACAGACGACAGGCTTCGCTTCATTGGGACAGGGGAAGGTGTCATCTGGCCTGGCTTCAAAAGCTGATGACGTCCGTTTGCTCCATGGGACAGTTAATGCTTTCGCGTTAAAAGGTTAGCGCTACGGCTTGCTTCTGCTCTGTCATATGATAAGAGTGGAAGCTTAAACAATTACCATTGTCGCAAGGCTTGCAGTACACTGTTGTGTCCATGACTCCATTTCTGCCCCAGCAGACCAGCACATCGAGAAAAGCAAGAACACTGTCTAAGCCAAACCTAAGCCGAAAGACTGCACCAA